CACTGAGGTGGGGAGTTACAGTCTTAGACTTAAAGGCTGATGAAATTTGTGTAATGTGCTTTTCTGACGTGTTTTGAGGCCATTTGATCTTGGACCTTGGTATCACGTACCCTAAACGCTTCTAACAGTTTTCAGCTTCACAGACAGAATCTCTCATAATTTAGCAGTTTTAAACATAGTAACCATAAATGCTAAAAATACAGAAAAAAGAAAGATAAAACAAAAAGCTGTCAGCCAACAGCACACATGCTTGCTTGTGCTCAATTTATTTTCCCTTGAAAGATTCACTCACTCTCTCTTTTTGATTTGTCTAGGAGCATTTTCTTCCATAGAAGAGATCCCAGAAAATATTGTACATGATCATGAGAAGAATGGCCTTCCACGCTTGTCCTCCTTCAGTGACTCTGAAATTAAAAAACGGTAAGAGCTGGCTTTCCAGGGGTGTGGGAGGGGCTTGGAATCAGTGGAGTTTGTTGCATCCGGTGGTACAAATGCATTTATCACAGCTGTGCCTGGGAAAATGAGGTCACTTGATTGTGTTGATAGTGTGCAAAAGAAAATAGTGTCACCATGTTCTTCGGAACGTGGATCCGTACTCCCTCCCTGTGAACAGCCCTACATAGAAAGTAGCTGTTCACCTGGGGAATGAGCCATAGCTGGGGTATTTGAAGTTGAATGCTGTTATGATTTGGGTTGTTGCAGTCAGACAACCACAGAAGTTGTGCTGGAAATGCATAACGTGGGTTTAGTTGGGATTTCTGAAATAAAGTAGCAGAGAGTTTAGATGTAGAGAGAGGGATGGTGTGGATCTGTTGATCTAGTTTGATGACCCCTAGCCCTCCCTGGTTAGGAGTAAGCAAGGAGAACCTAAAGACTGATCCAATTGCCTGTTGAGACTTGAAAGAGTCCATCCACTTATTTCAGTGGAGATTGGGCTCTAAATCTCCTTTCTCAGCTATTTACTGAAATAAACTTTGTTTTCAATTTATACTTCCTAAAGATAATCTCTGACTACAGAATATTACAGCTCAGTGGTATCACAACAAAATGTGAAATTCTGTTGAAAACTATGGTTTCATGAAAATAATGTTCTCGGACATTATTGATAGCATGACAAAACATCAAATAAAATACCAGAATTTTATATTTTTTTTTACTTAAGCAGTAATTTGTCTGACTACCTGCCAGTGAAAAATGGAGCCCTCTATGCATTTAGCTGCACCGAGCCACTTTTTCCATGTCTTTGTGTATTTTGCTTCTCGAACTTAATTGCATGGCATTAAAGATATTTTTGACTCAGAGCCTTCAACATCTTTCATCTTCTGTTTATATGGAGTGAGACAAACTAACCTCCTCCATTGAATAAAATGTGAAAACTAGGATGAACTATTTCCACTTTGTACTATACACAAAAACTGTTAGTAAAAAGACAGAAATTGTATTTCTAGTCCTATTGATTATCGTATTGATAGACTATGCAAGTGGCATAAGATTGATACTTTGGTCAGTTTATGTACATTTTGTAAGTCTTTGCTAAGCAAACTTTAAACACTTCGCTAAACACTTTCCTTCATTATTTAATTTCTTATTTTTTTCCTTCCTCTGTTTAGACTGAATTTATACTTCAAGTTTTTTATTGTTAGAGATCCATTTGAAAGACTTATTTCTGCATTTAAAGACAAGTTTGTGCACAATCCTCGTTTTGAACCTTGGTATCGGCATGAAATTGCTCCTGGCATCATTCGGAAATATAGAAAGAATCGCACAGAGACCAAAGGGCTGCAGTTCGAGGATTTTGTGCGTTACCTGGGTGACCCTAATCACCGATGGCTGGATGTTCAGTTTGGTGACCACATAATTCATTGGGTAACATATGTGGAACTCTGTGCCCCCTGTGAAATCACCTATAGTGTGATCGGACACCATGAAACCCTGGAGGATGATGCTCCATATATCTTGAAAGCAGCCGGCATAGACCATCTGGTATCATACCCCACGATTCCACCAGGCATCACAGTGTACAACAAAACAAAAGTAGAGCGGTATTTTTCAGGAATTAGCAAGAGAGACATAAGACGCCTCTACATGCGGTTTGAAGGCGATTTTAAACTCTTTGGTTATCGGGAGCCAGATTTCTTGCTTAACTGACACCTAAGATAAGCTCTGGAAAAGTGTCTCATGGATTAATCTAAACCTGCGTGAATACCAGCTGCAACACTGACAGAGCTGAGAATGCCCATTTGTTTTCTAGCTTTTTGATGTTGCTCCATTTTCCAGTGAAATATTTGTCATATGAACAAGTAGGGGCTTAAAGATGTTGTTTACTGACCATATTTTCAATATGTGACATTACAGTCTGTTAGGAATGAAGTCTCTGTTATCTGAAATACAGAATTCCATTTCTCCCCTCTTCCCTTCAGGAAAAAGGAGGGAGAATGAATGGGCTATGATCTTCCCCTCCCTCTCCCAGACAGGATGCCATTTTTAAAACGTTGTGAAGTTTTCATGGCAGTTTCACTGTAGGTTAACTCAGACATGTGGGTGAACTTCATGATTCATGCCCATGAGAAAGATATGTAGTCTCCCATGAACTTTGAAAATGAGAGGCCAGTACAGGACTAAAAATTGATTAAATGCTTGACAAGTAAAATCATCTAGGCTGCTATAATAATAGTAATGCTGATCTAATCCCATTTTTGTCACAAAATGAACCTAATTAGACAGAAGCTTTAGATGTGTTTAAAAAGGGACTGGTTCCAGAATCCAATTGTCTTTGTACTTGTGTCAAGTGTTTACTTACTACTGATCTATTGAGCCTCATAATTCTACTTTTGATTTTCAAAATATTATTTAACTCCTGGCTATGTAAGTTATCTGAGAACACTAGATGCAAATGGAGCATAGAAGAAGTATGAAACTGCTAGGGAAACTTTAAGGAAATTAATTTAAAGTAAAATATTAATTGTATTTGTGAGAACACATATAGAAGTCATGAGATGCTCTCTAAATATCACAGAATTTAACTTGTTTTGTCTTCTAACAGTTAAGAGTAATAAAGAAGCCACAAAGCAGAATGTCACATAAAAGTTGCTAGAGTTACTTGGATTAACAGTCTGCCTTTTTCTTATATCCAGCCTTGGTCAATGTTCAGTACCTCAGAGAACAGAAAATTTACACCCCCCTGAAAATCCATCTCCCTACTGCTAAAGGAGACAGGATGAATATCTGATTTTTCCAGTGATTCACTGCCATGGTGTCCTAGCTCAAAAATGCCCAACATTTGTGTTACCAATGGGGTGAGTTGATGACTTGCCAGGCATATCAATGTCACTTACATTTGTATACTCACTGTATGCATTAAAAAAAGAAAAACAGAACTGAATGGATGCAGCCATCATATTTGCCTGTGCTTGCATTGTGTCTCATAAAGAGCAGTCTCTTTTTTGACTTCACCAGCAATAAAAATCAGTGCTACCACCTCATCCCGCAGGCCATGGGAGAGAGAGAGACCATGTGTCTGATACAGAGGAATTGCTCTGTCACACTGAGCGTGTGAACTGGGTTTTTTTAAAATCTTGGTCCTTAAAGATTAATTTTCAGATCAGCATAATGTTACTGTCTAGAAATGCTAATGATGGCCAGTGGTATGGAATCTGCTCTTAAATCTAGCCACAGTATGTTTTTAATAGCTTCCTGTATCAACACAGGGAAGCATCTTGCACTTGTGAAAAGAGAAAGCTGTGCCAAGCTGACATGTGCTACTACCCACAAAAAGGAAGCCCTGTTGTAGCTGGAAGTGATTTCAGAGAGATCTCGACAGACTAATTGAAATAAGGGAGAATCATTAACTGGGCATCACTAGAAAGAGAATAGTCCAAGGTGGCAAAGCTGGAAAGTGGGATTTTTTTTTTTTATTTTTTTTTTTAAGCAAAAATTACAGTGCCCTAACTTGTTAGTTCTTAACTAATGATAAAAAGATGTTAACAGCTCCAGGTTTTTCTGTGGTTTTCTTAATATGGGAACTTAGCAAAATGTACTGTTAAACACATTTAGGAGCTAATGAGCTGATTGATTACCTCTCTGCCAATTTAAAACGTAACAGTGTGAATAATGTATAGCAAATTCAGGCCTTAAAGTTTAATTCTAATAAAGATAGAGTTGTTTTCCTCTGAAAGCATAGCTACTGATTACACAGAATGCCAATGTATGTTTTCATTTTTCTTGTTAAATTACTTAATGTATTGACTGCTTAAAAATTGCCAGGTGGAAAGTGCTACATAAATATTAAGTAATAATGTTTTTTCTAATAGCTTTGTCATGTGTTGAGTTCTCTCGGGCATCTGACAACAAATGGACTGACACAGGTAGAGGTGTGTACTGCTTTCCCACCTCCATGTTCCCACGATTTTAAGACTGGAACACTTATTACCATTTCTTCAGTTCAAACACAAAGTTTCTCTTTTCAACGGTACCCTCCTGAGCTCTATTTTCTTTCTAAAAGTGTGGAGTTTTTCGTCATATGGCCGAAGTTACAATGGCGCAGTTTTGGCATGACTCTTGCAGAAACTCAGATGCAAAAGCCCTTGATGAGGTATGGTAGGGTTCTCCTTATGTCCGTCCAGTGCAGGCAGGGTGGCCAGAGTGTACTGTGTCAGGGAGGAGGCTCTTGCCCTGCTACTTATGATGAATTAAATGCTTGTGTTTTGGTATAGCTTAATTGTACTCTATACAAGGCTTTTACAGATTTAGTCCCAGTGGCATGCATGAACGTCATTTCACTGTGTAGATGTTATTTGCATACCGCTTTCAAACTGCAGGTGATATTTATGTTATATTTTGGGAACTGCTGGCCCAGATTGTTACTTCTATTTTCTTACTGTTGTTACAGCTTCAGAAAAGAAACTCACATCCTTTGTGTCTATCTGTTTCTTTTTGTTGTCTCTTCTCAGCAGCTTTTGAATCCTCTGGCCCATTTTAACCACATTTTACAGAAAAAAGGCGAGTTCTTAGGGATAGTTGCAGTAATCTTCCTGAAAATAGGAGAGGAATCATTCTTTGTACATCAGAGAGTCCATGCTGTATGTTAGCTTTAGGGAAAGTACAGACGGGAAACTGAGTTTTACTGCTTCTACTCCTCGTGGAGCAACTTGTTTCTCATGGATTCCCTTCCCTAGTGGTCCAAGTCTGGCCTCTGATCTCAGCTGACAAAGACAAAAGTCATGAATTTAAATGTATTCCATGGGTCTGTTGCCTTCATGTTCCTTATAAAATTAAGGACACTTCTAGAGATCAAGTGACTGGTTTGGGTTTTTTTTTGAGGTCTTGGTTTGTTTGGTGTTTTTTTTTCCTTCTGATGAAAATGTATCCAGAATTCACTTGCTTGTGAACCAACTTTTAAGGGCAATGCCAGTTCCCTTTTCTTTTAACTTCAGCACTTAATGCATTATCACCAGCGTGCTTTCTGATCACATGCCATGAGAATGTTTTTGTGTAGTTAAAATATATGTGGAATTTTTTCTTTCGGGAACTGTTCCTTAAAAGAAGGAGCAATTCAAAAGTGGTCTGAAAATGTATATTTTTCACAGATAAGCATGTTGTTTTCCTGTTCAAGCTCAGGTGCTGCCTTGTTTGTACTGAGAGTAACAGCCCCTTGCTGCTACCACTTGTCTGTGTCCTCGGATCAAGGAAGTCATCAGACAGCTTCTGGCTTTTGTGTAACATTACTTTTTCCTTGAGGTGTTAATAACTTTGTTGTCTGGGAAAGCCACTTTTGATCTTATCTGTGCTCCAGAAAGTTTGCTGTGAAAAGAGTGATTATATAGGGATTGCTTAAGCTTATGTTCTCAGATGAAAAAGGATGTCTCCTCAGTGTGTCTGCCTGTATCTGATATCCCTTAATCAGCAGAGAGAGGGTGAATGATCTTTCTGCTTAATGGCCTTATCGTGATTTATACTAGGCCCCCCATCTGATTATTAGGGCAATGTGAAGGGACCTGGAAGGAGGTGTAAAGTGAGGGTGCAAAGGAAACTTGACACAGGTGTTGGGCCCTGAAGAATTGTCCTGGCTAATTGCTTGTTATATGTCATCTGCAGAGGCTGGTGGGGTTTCTTTGTGGCTTGCGCTTGAGAAGATTTATGCAAGGTAAAAAGAGGCTGTGGGTGGTGGAAAATTCCCTTTCAGCCTAAGTTAGCTGTGCGTGTTCCTGGGCCGCTGCTGTGGGGAAGGTTTTAGGAGGAAATGATCCTATTAGCAGCAAAGCCTGCAGCGCTTGGGCTAGCGAGTGCCGGGGACCTCCCGCCTGGAGGAGGAGTTCGGCCTGCGCTGCTGCCTGCAGCTGACTTCAGTGCTGTCTTGTATAAATCTCTATTTCTGTGCTTTTAATGCAGTTGTGTGCAGCTGAGCTGTTGTCTTGCTTTCCTGCATGTGCCAGTAGCCTGAGGTACTTCATCTCGTTGCCACCCGAGCAGCTTTGAAAGGCCTGTGCGGGAGGAGACATTTCCCGTATGAAGCAAGCAGCGTTAAGCCTGCAGCCATGCAGCTGGTGGCAACAGGCTGGTGTAAGCACGGAAATGGTGCTCTTCGGGGCTAGCTACTCTAAAATCATATCTTTTCCCTTTTAATCCAGGCAGGAGTGAAAGGGAAAAAGTTTAGTGTTTACTTTGAGACATAGAAAGGAACCACGGCGATAGAAATTCCGGTCTGGTAAGCCCAGGGAAGGCAATGTCTGGGAGAGCAACACTGAAAAAAGCTGTGGGCAGTCGCTCTAAAGCCCCCCAGAGATGCTGGACTCTGTGTTTAAGGAAAGTTGCTGAAGCTTTATGGGAGGTGTTAGAGGAACAAGTGTGCTCCCCCATATGGTCTATGTGCATGCCAGAGGAGCAGCTGCTGATGGGACAGCATGCACATGGCAGGCTGAAAGCATGAAGCATCTGCTGCGGGTGTCTGTTTGAAATCAATGGAAGGGGAAAAAAAAGTGGAAATGAAGTAATGAAAAAATAATCCTGAAGGTTGCACACTTGGAAATGCAGTACCTACCCTAACTGCCAGAAATATGCTGACTGCCTTGGATGTGTACAAGTCATTTCTGAGCAATTTGTTGGACAAAAGCTAATCTTGAAATAGGAGGGTAAATGTGGACCATAGGGCATCTGTACATGCTTTAGAAAGTGATTTCATACTGAGAAGCTAGCCAAGGCTCTCAGTCGTGCCTAAGTAAATGGGTCTCATCTAGGAAAAATGTATAGCTATGCTGGAAGCATACAAGGAGAAGAAAAAGCTCTTGTGGAATAACTATGTCTTTCAAAAACTGTGTTATGCACCTACTGTGATTTAAGAAGTAGGAACATTTAGTCTTGTAGATCTTTTTTTCTTCCTGTTGCCTTTCTGTTTTATTCAGTTTTGTTTCCCGTGTTCTGAGAGGGGTTTGGATGATACACCACAGTATGACCTGTCATTCTTCTCTTGTCAGAAGGGCCTAAGAGGCTGTAGGAAATAAAAAATGGTCTCCATAATTTTGAGGAACATAAAGAGAAAATTCAGGGAGTTACCAGTCATTAATTACTTGTGGTGACGGTGAAACATAAAGATTGCATGAGCTACTTCTTAGATGTTTCATGTGTTGTTCAGGAATTCACTTGCAGAAAAATTATCACTGTTCTGTATTTGGCATCTTTGTTCTTATGTTTTGAATGGCTTCCAGTAAGTTTTTAAGGAAGTCAAATTTGAAATCCTCCATACTCCAAAGCTTCAGTTTGTATCCACCTATTTTCCTCTCATTCTGCTTTAAGCATTTTGTAGAGTAAGAGTTGACTCTTTGAATTTACTCAGTTTCCTCGGTTTCTGACTGTTCTTTGCAATGCTGTACCATTTGTACTTGTGAAAAGGCAGCAAGCAAGAAGACTCGGCAAACGCTCTGGAGAGAACAGGACTCTTAAGTAGACTTCTATTTGTCGGCCTCTGTCCACAAGCTTCTTTCATCTGCCAGCCTCTGTTTTCCTTTCATTATCTCTTCAGTCTAGCTCTTTGCTGTAAAACCTATCAGGGTATGTACGAATGATTAAAATTA